CCGCGCCGGGGGGGGCTGCCAGCCCCGACAACCATGGGCAGCTGGGGGGCAGTGAGATGGAGCTGGTACCCAGGTGAGGGGACAGTACCCAGGAAGTGAGTGGAGATGCTCCCTGCTTACCGTCCGGTCCACGCAGGCAACGGAGCGGCCAGCGAAGCGGCTGGCCACGTCCCGGTTCACCTCATCGCTCAGGATGTCCTCCCAGCGCCCATTGCGGAGCTTGAACAGCTTGTCTGTGTAGGTGGCCATGCCTAGGGGGGATGGGCATGGGTCAGGGGGGTACAGCATCCTGCCTTCTCCTGAAGAGGGTGCCCTGTGCCAAGGGGAGACTGGGAAATGGGCATCCCAACCCCTGCTCCATTCCCTGCAGCCCTCCTGGGCCAGGCTGTCACTGCACCAGCCCCCATGACCCTTAAGGGCCACCTGGAGACACGCAGAAGAATCAACTCATTAAGGTAAAATGTGTCTCAGTGGGGCACAGCCCCATAGATCATCCCTGGGAAGGTAAAAATATTGACCAGGTGCCAGACACAGGCAGCAAGCTGCACTGCCTGTGACAGCCGATGGCAGTGCCTGATTTAAGGGCAGGTGTGCCAGCAGCCAGCGCCAGCCCGGGTAATGAGGAGCATCAGGATGACAGATCTGCTGCCTGGAGGTCAGGAACATGGGACAGGGACACGGGCAGAGCTGGGCAGGAGCACTGACCCAGGAAGCTCCAGGGATGCCCAGTGCCGGGCTGGGGCACACGGGTCCCCTCCCCATGACAGCATCCCGGGAGCTGGGACAGCATCCAGGGTGCAGAATTAGACCTGGCTTGGTCCAGCGGGCACAGGAGAGCCAGAGCATGGAGGGGCACAGCTGGGATTTGCAGTGCAGGGACCCTGTGGCCAGGCAGCCCCAGGGGTGGTGGGGTAGCTGCAGACCCGCTCGGGGTGCTGCCGGGAGGGTGGTGGGCAGCTGGAAGTGCTGACTCGGCGGCTGGCTGGGCGCTGTGTCCCGCCCGCACTGCCATCAATCAATGGAGCCACTCAACTGAGAAATTAACTCCAGCCCGCACACATCCCTCACGCGCCGAAGGTCACGGGCGGCCGTGCCGGGAGCTCCCCCAGTGCCCGGTGCTCGGCTGCCGGCAGGGCTCACCGGAGAAGGCGCTGTTGGCGTTGAGGAAGGAGATTTCCTCGCGGCCATCCCCATCGATGTCACAGGCTGTCACGCCGCTGGCGTTACCCTGACGGTCCCGCCGCGCGTAGTAAGGGGAACCCCGCTCGTCCTCTGCCACGTTCACCAGCCGCCTCCGCGCCTTGTCATACTTCAGCACCAGGTTAGGGCCATTGTACCTGTGGGTGCGAGCAGTGGCGATGGTTCCCCATGGCTTGGGGACAGGATGAAAGCCCCAGTCCTATTCCTGGGGGGACACTGGGTTTTCCCTATGATGCGCACAGCAGAGACCTAGGAGGCC